CGTATTGTTTGGGTGTTGTTTCCTTAACATGTAAAATCCTTATTTTCCTTTTGTGATTTTATTAGCTTCTTTGATTTCCGTGTTGTTACTTTCTATAATTTCTTTATTGTTTCCCTTCCCTACTATTTCAGTATATCATTATATTTTCTGTCTTGCTTCTTATTATCTCTAGTAGGGCCTCGACTTGACCTCGTCACTACTCTACCGGGGTTAGGCTTGGCACTTACTGGGTACCGTTGTGGTGTACTCATACTACCTTTCTGCACATATTTTACGATCCAGGTACATCCTATCAGCCTCGGTGTTAGCGCGTTGAGTTGCTTGCTTTGGAGACTTCAAGGTACACCTGCTCACGTCCGCAGACCTCGGAGTCCCCTTCTACCCTGTTCTTTTCTTATTTCTTTACATCTTTATAGACAATGATGATCAGTACTGTATCTAGAGCTTGTGGCTTATATTTTCACCGGGTTTTGAGAGATGTACATGTTGAGTTGCAGATTTTATTTCATATAGTTGTTGATATTTTTGAGATTTAAATTATCATTTCAGTTATTCCGCATGTTTATTAGGCTTACCTAGTCTTAGAGACTAAGTGCCGTCACGACATCTTACATAGAAAAATTGGGGTCGTGACACTTTGAAGGTACATTTGAGCCTTCAAATTCTTAAGCTTTTATATTATTGAGTTATCTTGTTTGGTTCATGGTAATGTAACGTGAGTTATAATGATAAAATTCCCTCAAATCGATTGATTTCCTTCTATAACTCTTAGATACGAACAAAGAAAAGCAAAATGTAGAAAAACTACACTATTTGCTGGATCACCTATATCAATAAATGACCCATATAACTCAAAACACCACAAAATAATCACTCTCGATATCACAATAATACAAACTAGTACTCTCTCTGTCTCAAATTATTCGTCGTAGTTTTTAAAAATAGTTGTCTCAAATTATATGTCATTTTATTTATCATTTTAGAAGTTCAAGACTAAATTAATTATCTTTTTCCTATTCTACCCTTAATATTAATTGTTCTTGAATACTACGAATACCTCAATTATGAGTAAATTTTAAATGAAAAGTTTTTATATCTTAAGACATAAACAAGGGTAAACAGTTAAAACATCTCCTATTTAATATTTTCTTAAAAGACGTGTAAAAGAGAAATACCACAAATAATTTGAAACGGATGGAGTACAATAAACAAATCTAACCACCATAATTATCCAAATTTAAAACGTGAAGATTTAAAGAAAGATGCAATTAATTCTTCCATTGTATACTCCCATTTGATTCAACGATTTATTTGTACTTTCAGACTATCGAAGCTAAATTAAAGGCAAAATACATAAACATACACTTAAAGTTGGTCTTGGCCGTCACTTAAACACTTTAAGTTATCAAATAATCATTAGACACTTCAATTCGCCTCCGATGTTTGTCGGGGACAACTATATCAAAAAGACAATATAAGTGAGATTCACTTACGTCTAACGTCTAACGTGTCAAATAACCAAATCAACTAATGACATGTGTATTTTTTAAATAAAAAATGCAATAAGAAAAGAAAAAATTTAAACTCCTCCGTTTCCCCCTTCTCCATTCCTTTGCCCACCCCACCGACGAGGCCAACAACCTGTGACTCATTCGTCTACTTCCCCTTCTATTCTCTTTTCTTCTTATTCCTAATCATATTACCACTCTCTTCCCACTTTCTTCTTCCTCTCGTCTGTCTCCGTTTCTTTTTTAATTTTCCGGGTGCGTAGATTGCGGAAAATTTTTCCGATCAGCAATGTCGTTTCTTGTCAAGTGTACTTTTTCTTCTTCTTCCTACTATGAAAACACATTTTTGGTGTGGAGAAGATGATTCCACTAGTTTTGTAAGAGCGATTCAGTCGATTTAATAGTGTTTTTTTTTTACTTTAGTAGTATAATTGCAGAAATTAATAACCTGGGTATTGCTACGCCATTACATATAATGATTTTAAGGGTTTTAACTTTTGTTTTTTGTGCTTTGTCGTTTATTAACATTTTGCTTCGTCAAATATGCCCTGCTTTGTGAATGGTGGTCGATAAGATCGAGAATATAGGTGAAGTATGCTTTGAAAATGAAGTTTTACTAGTTTTACATATTGTTTATTATTAGATTGTTGTTGAAAATTTTGTCGCATTGCCTTTAATCTTCGGACAGATTCAAAGGCTGGTCTATAGTGTTTTAATGGTGAACGAAAATTTGAAAAAGAAGTGTGAGGAAAAGGGTGAAAATGTGGGACCCACATAATTTAAAAAAGATTAAAACAAAATTACATTTGTCACGCCTCAATTTTGTTTGAGAGCTAAACACTTTGCCATGTCAGCATCGAGTGTCCGGGCAATAAAGTGAGGAGTTGAGGTGTCTAGACGATAAAGGGTTTAGACAAGTCAACTTTTAAGTGTCTAATGCCTAAATTAAATGTATTCCCGTTCTCGATCAAAAAGTAAACTTTGCCTATTTCCGGTTTCTTTTTGTTTTTGACTATAAAAAGGGACGTGGGAGAAAGATCCAAAAGGTCTAATTTAGAGCATTTGTTTTGAAGCTATTTACTATTTCCTCAATTTCAATTTAGTTGTCGTGCTATAGAATGATATATTTGTATAATAAGTATGTATTTAGTGTGGACGTTTTCATTTTATTCTTAATGAACACCATATTATATGATAGACAAATTGTTTATCCTTAAAATCGGATAACAATTAAATTTGTAAATAATTTTAAGGATACGCGGATTAATTTGATATAAAGCGATAAATTAAGTCAAATCGAACAAACAAAGATAAAATGGATTCAAACCATACAAGGAGGATAGTTTCAGCCTTAGTGAAATATTCGGTCTCGATCCGGGCTCGCTAGGGCCAACTCTGATGAACAAGAGAAAAAGCTAATAACAGAGAAAATAATAATATATTATCGTAGAATGCATGTTACAGTGTATTTAATGAATTATCATACCCCCTTTATATAGTACGGGAATCCTACTCTAGGTACAACTCTATAAAAGGTAAAAAAAATTCTCCGATTAACTAATTGTCGGTTCTTCACCGATACGTGCCGAGATCCCCGTCGTGATATCCGGATGGTCACGGATATTACGGCCTTCCGTTGGCCGTGCTCGATTGCCTAACAATGTTCTTCGAAGTCATTCAAGGCTAAGACCAGTTCTGAACCATGACCCCGATATTCTCGAGGGCGAGCATCATGCCCCGAATTCTGACTCGATGAGACTTTTGCCTCGATTTCGGTCCTCTGTCATTGTGTCTCGAGCTTGACTTATTTTGTCGGAGATCAGAGTGTACCATGGCCCGATTTTACCCGTATACACAAAATATGTTTAAAATCACAAGATTCAAAAAATATTTTTAATTATACTCACCTTTAGTTTAAAATTACAAAAATCAAAAATCTTCTTTATATTTTTAAATTTCGTGCGTAATCAACTAAGACAAATAAAATGAATTGAAAGGATACTATTTATGATTTTGGGATGTCTGGTGCGAGGAGAGAAAGGAAAAGATTTGATAACTAATTAGTAAAGTGTCAAATGTTACAAACTTTAAAATGTAACAGTTCTATCAATAAATTGTTATGATTTTNCCACACCAACCCCACCCCCACCTCAAAACAAAGAAAAAAGAAAGAAAAAGAAAGAATACACCATTATTATGAAATGAATATAGATAAGATAAAATTTTCGTATTAGAGGAGTCATTTAGCAACTATGAATTAAACTGGGGTAGATTTTTCGTATTAGAGTAATCATTTATAAGTATGAATTCAAATTGTTATATTTACATTCACATGGTCTCTTTACTTCCTGTTTTTCTCTCTTGAAGTTAAGCAATTGAGTCAATTGACTGTTAGTGGTTTTGATTTTTTTTCTTGGATTTTTTTTACTTTTAACCATGCTAGAAACTGCTCAATGCATGTAGGAGGCTGGGGCTTTTCCCCCACGACCACTTTTAAAGGAGAACTAGAAAAATAACAACGAACTCAAAGCTAATGAAGGAGATCTGCAACTTGAACAAGGTAAACGGGATCTTTCCTACCCCTCTACTTAGTTGTCTCAATATTACATCGATCCGGAACTACGTCCATCGCCAGGGGCGGACCCACATGGAGTCAAGAGGGTTCATATGAACCCATTTCGTCGAAAAATAATACTGTGTATGTAGGTATATTTTTTCTGTCTTCGAAAACGTAATGGTATAAAGATTATTTTGAACCCACTTCAAACAAGTAAATCGCTTAGCCTGCCGGTAAAGAGGGTTCAAATTTTCCATATGGTCCTGAGTTTGAAACCACTTAGTCGCATATGCCCCTCTATTTTTGGTTTTTTTAATATAGGTCTCTTTTCTCATAAAAACGATGACGTTTATGTCTTTTTAAAATATTCCCCAAATCAGAAAACGATCAGAATCTCTAATCCCAAGCCCTTCGGTGCCCCTCTCTCTCTCAATTTCAAAGAGAATCGCTTTCATAGTCACCACTCACCTCCTCCGTTAGTTAGCCACTGCCGAGAAGGTCATCTCCCTCAAAGACAAAGGGTTTCATCTTGGTATCTAACTAAAAGTTCAGGTAATCAATAACAATAAGAACCAATTCTAGTTTTCCAATTTCTAGTATTTATTCCTCTTTTGCATAAAGATTTAATCCCAATAAATTTCCTTCACCTCTATGTGCTTTCTTCTCTTTGTTGTAGTTCAATTTCAAAGAACATTGATTCATAGTCGTTTCCTCCATTAGCCATAAGCCAATGTCGCTTCTCGAATCTCGTTGGGTCGCCTCTCGCAGTCAGCCCGTCAATTGTCACTATCAGGTTTCTCACTTGCTTATATTGTAGATTTTTGTAATTTATGCTTTGGAAAAAATTCAGATTGTTTTAATGGGTTTTGGCTGAGAAACTCAATTTCAATCCATGTTAAATGTTTTTTCAATATAATTTTTAATCTTAATGGAAAATGGGAAAAGGTGAGAAATTGAGAGTAATAAACTTGCTTATATTGAGAAGTTAAGCACCATTTCTCTTTAGTTATGGAAAATCTCATACTGTTGTTATTGGTTTTGAGTGAGAGATCCTACGTACACATGATATTTTTTTGGGTGTCTCTACTTTTGATATGGTCATATGGAATGGAAATCAGTAATATTTTCTTGATGCAGTCAAGAACATTTTCCTTGGCTCGTTGTTGAATCAACAGATTTTCCTTTATAAAATAATATTTAGCATATTGTTATCCATGAATGAAAGTTTCATTGCAATAGTTCTGTAATCTGATGGGTGATCATTGCTTGGTTGTCTTCGACCACATTATTTCTTCTAGTTTAAATTTAAGGTTAAACATATACAAAATTATTTTTCTACTTCTAATTCTAATTTGGTAATCCAGTTTGTGTTACAATAAAGAGATTTTACCCTCCATTATCTTTCAAGTTGCCACAACCAAGTTCATCCTCTCCAATTGCTGCTCCCATGGAACAAAATTTGAACCAATTAGAAGAGCAACCTCAATCCTCTAAAAGACAAAGACAAGGAATAGATCTTTATTCTTTACCAGTTGATCCAAAGGAGAGAATACCCATTAGAGATTATCATCCAAATGAGCGTGATGAGATTAGAAGAGAATATCTCCAAAGAGGTCCTTACCAACTCCGATATCATAAGTTTCCTCAAAGAGATTTTTCGGGCTTAAAGCGTCGTTTCAATCCTAAATGGTTTGATGAATATCGTAATTTGTTGGAGTATAGTGTGATAGAAGATGCAGATTATTGTTTGTGTTATTACTTGTTTCAAGATGAAGACATTCATCAAGGTGGAGGCGATGTATTTTCAAGTTTAGGATTTAAGAGTTGGCAAAAAAAGAAGAGATTCGATATTCATGTTGGTAAGTCGAGTAGTATTCATAATCATGCAAAAAGGAAATGTGAAGATCTATTAAAACAAAAACAGTCAATTCAAACTTCATTTGATAGGCAATCCAGTCAAACCAAGCTCGAATACAAAATTCGCTTGAAGGCTTCAATTGAGGTTGTGAGACTCCTATTGAATCAAGAATTGGCATTCCGTGGACATCGTGAAGATGAATTATCATTAAACAATGGTAACTTTCTTGATATTCTTTCATGGTATGCAGAGAGGTGCGATAAAATCCGTGATCTTGTGTTGAAAAAGGCTCCAAAGAATAATCTGTTGACCTCTCATAAAAATCAAAAAGACATTATCATTGCATGTAAAATTGAAACATTTAAAGCAATTATGGAGATCTAAATGGAGACTTTTTTGCATTGCTAGTTGATGAATCATGTGATGTATCACGTAAAGAGCAATTAGTTATTGTCTTGCGATATGTTAATAGACGTGGATCTGTGGTGGAGCATTTTATTGGGATCGTTCATGTTCGTAATACTAGTGTTTTATGTTTAAAGAAAGCAATTGTTGATTACCTTGCTCAACATTCTTTGAGTTTATCTTATGTGCGTGGACAATGCTATGATGGAGCAAACAACATGCAAAGGGATTTACGTGGCCTCAAAACTTTGATTCAACAAGAAAGTAAATCTGCTTATTCCATTCATTGTTTTGCACACCAACTTCAATTGACTCTTGTTGCGGTATCCAAAAAGTATCTTGAAGTGGGAGAACTTGTATTGTTAGTTTCTAATGTATTGAATATAGTGGGAGGTTCTTTTAAATGTATGGATGATCTTCGAGAATCTCAAGCAGAAAAAGTTCAAGAGGCATTAGACATGGGTGAACTTGAAACTGGTAGGGGTTTGAATCAAGAACTTGGTCTTGCCAGAGTTGCCGATACTCATTGGGGTTCGCACTACAAATCTTTTAAGAACTTTATTTTTATGTTTGGCTCAATTATTGATGTTCTTGATACTATCGTTGTTGATGCCCAAACTTTAGAAGGAAGAGCTAAGGCAAAGGGATATCTTAGCACTTGTCAAACATTTGAGGTTGCTTTCATGTTGCACCTAATGAGAGATATTTTGGGGATCACAAATGAGCTTAATACATCCTTACAAAAAAAGGAGCAAGATATTACAAATGTTATTCTACTTGTTGAAGTGGCAAAGAAACGGTTGCAAAAGCTAAGAGAAGAAGAATGTGATTCACTTATTGATAAGGTGTCTGCATTTTGTGTCAAGTATAATATTTTGATACCAAACTTTGATGACTTCTATGTTAACTCCGGAAGGTCTTGACATAAAGTTGTTGATTATACTATTTTACATCACTATCGTGTTGATATATTTTTTAATATTATTGATTGGCAAGTTCAAGAACTCAATGCTCGTTTTAATGAGGTGACAACGAACTTGCTTGTTGGAGTAGCTTGCTTAAATTCAGTTAATTCATTTTTCAGTTTTGACATAAACAAGATATTGATGACGGTTGAATTGTATCCTGATGATTTTGATGAGAATATAATGATTACGCTCAAGAATCAACTTGAAACTTATATTGTTGATGTTCGTGATGTTGATGAAAGGTTCTCAAATCTACAAGGACTTGTTGATCTTTCTGATATACTAGTTAAGACAAAGAAGCATTTGAATTATGCATTTGTGTTTCGCCTTGTGAAATTTGCTTTGCTTCTACCAGTTGCCACTGCTATAGTTGAAAGAACTTTCTCGGCGATGATGTTGATCAAGAGTGAATTGCGAAACCGAATGAATGACGAATTCATGAGCGGATGTTTGGTACCTTATGTAGAAAGAAAAATATTTAACACCATTTCTAATGAGACTATTATGAATACGTTTCAGGAAATGAAAACTCATAGAGGACAGTTGTAATAATATATTTTATTAATATATAGTTTTTGTTTACCTTGCTTCTTTGTATTTTGAACCCGCTTGATAAAAATCTTGGGTCCGCCACTGTCCATCGCGCCTTCTTTCAAAGAGAGGAGGACGGGTTATTCACATTTCATTTGATGGTCAGAAGCGAATTGAAAGTTAAGCAATGGAAATTCTAAAGATTCCCCGATCTATGCTTTTTGAAGGTGAAGTTTGGAAATAGAACAATTCCTTCTGGACCATAACGGAATTTCGGTCTATACCGGATTTATATTATGTAACCGAATAAGTGTATAAAATTTGTATAATTTTTGTATATAACATAAAGAATGTATATATATACAAAAAATATACAAAACATATATATATTTTCGGCTATTATTTTGAATGTGGCTATACAATGTCATTTCCTTTTTTTTAAACCTAATACACGGTGAACCAGCCAACAGTTTGTTATTTCACGAATCGTAATTTAGGATGCTTAGTTAAGTATTAGCTTCTCCTCACAATCACGAGGAGAAACAAATGAAGAAACGTCGATCTAAATTCTTCTAATTAATCAAAATTCCTCACAAGATGGAGAAATTTTTCTACGGCTTTGCTCATTGAAAAAAGAAAATAAGGAATAATATATCGAGTTAATTTATTTTCCATAAAATTAGTCATGAAGAACTTTAACGACGGACTATTCTTCCAAAATTGGGCATTCTTTATGACCTTTTCAATATCATCTTTCTGTAAGTTTTCTTTCAATATAAGCAGTGGCGGATCCACCTCTGATTATATAAGCGACTAAAATAGACATACCTAAAATGGAGAAGTAAAATGTATGTTTTTGTACTTTCAAAATTCAAGTATATATCCAGCTTATTAAAATTTTCTCGTACTCATCCAAGAATGAATTATTACTACTAGAAAATAGGAAAATGGGGATGGGCGGAGAACCTAAAGCCTAAAGATATATCGAAGATCTCCTAATAGAAGAAACACATGCAAATCACATTGTAGCCTATCATTGTGAGTGCATGGCTGCAAATACAAAGCATTAACTTCCTAGCTGGTTCTTGATGTGGACCTACAAATGATTGAATGTAAAAAAACAAAAGGAAAACAGAAACAAAAGAAAAAGCTATTAAAGGCATGAATGATTAACTAAAAGTGAAATAAAAGGTAACAGTGTAATGATAAAAGAATTGTTAGTCCCCACCAACGGTGAAAGCAAAATTTTTATTCAAAAAAATAGAAACAGTAACTACACGTAAATTAAACATCTAATATATGTATATAAAAAAAATTGACCTTATATATGCCGTGTAATTTTTGGACGAAAGGGATCCGAATGAACCCGTTCTTCCGCTCACCTAGCTCCGCCCTTGTCCCCCACTCTTTGTTTAACCATTTGACGTCCGGAAATAACTAGTTTGATTTAGATTTGCATTGCATAAGCTCATTAAAGAGAAAACGTTCTCAAAAAAAATATTTTGAGAAAACAAATCTTTAATTAAAATTGAAGGAGTCACATTCACTCTACGACGTCTCCTGACGATAATTGTTAGTCCCATTTGGATTCAAAACTTTCTACCAAAAGTTTTCAAAATTTAAAAAGGATTTGGAAGAATAGGAAGGTATTAATTAGGGAAAGAATGTCTGAATGGGCATTAAAAACACTCTCTACCTAAAATGATCCAAAAAGGGCACATAAATTATTTTAGGGAAATTGAAGAAAATATGACACAGCATTGAGGTTGTGCATTAGAAGGCGAGGGATATATATTATTTAGACCACCCGGTGCAAGTTTGAGTTGGAAGCTTGGATTTAGTGGAATAACGGTTATGATATTTTTTAATTTAGTAAAATTCAATTTCCACCCTTCAAGTTTGATTTAAGAAACATAGGCACTCCCCACGTTTTAGTAAAGAACAAATACCTCCATTCCTCGGTAAGAAGACTATTTTTTTATTTTTTTTAAAGTTGGAGGTGGAAAAAATATTATTTTGCTATCATGTCTACACTTTTTTTTTACTTGCATCTAAATTCTCCTTTATTTGACTTAAATTTTTGTGTCAGTTGATTTGATTATTAATTCAATTATATATCATTTTTGTCAAATAAGAAAATAAATTTCAACCCCTCCCCTCCTTCTATCCCCTCATCACTTCCCTTTAATACATGTGTTATAAAAAGCCAAGTAGGCCATTGATCACGCCCAACTCTAGTTCTAAAAAGGATAAGTCGTCGCTGCAAATATAATCCGGTCTAAAAGTTAGGAGTCGAATCCCACAGAGAACTAAGGTTTAGCTACAACCTTTCACTATCACTAAGAATACAAGTTTGAATAATTCCTAAGTTATAAATATAAAGATTCTTATTTTAAATTAATTAACTAATAAATTAAATGAGTGGATTAACAACTAAAGATACTAAGGGTTGGAGACAAGATTAAGGAGGTTTAGAGTTATGATTTCCCCAATTTTCGGAATCCTTCTCGCTATGTCTCCTATAATTTCGCCTAAGTATTCTCTACCGATCATGAGTACTTCGGGTGTCATAATTCTCTTCCGAGTAACTACCACAAATTATGTAACGACCCGACCGGTCGTTTTGAGCTCTAGCGCGTCGATATAGGGTTTGAGGCCTTGAGTAGCTCACTTCAGGTATTAAGAATTTAAGACTTGTACGTGTGGTCAGAATTGAATTTCGGGAAGTTCAGAGTTGATTTGGAAAGAAAATTCTAAATTCGGAAGCTTTAAATTGGAAGGTTTCACTAAGGTTTGACTTTTGAGTAAACGACCTCGAAATCGGGATTTGAAGGTTCCAATAGGTTTGTATAATGATTTCGGACTTGGGCGTATGTTCGGGTTGAGTATCGCGTGGTCCGGATGCATTTCGGTGCCTATTATGAAAAGTTGGCATTTTGGAAGTTCTAGGATTTCATAAGTTTGGTTTGAAGTGGATTTTAATGTTATCGATATCCATTTGGAGTTCCGAGCCTTGGAATATGTTCGTATCATGATTTGTGACTTGTGTGTAAAGTTTGGCGTCATTCCGGGAATGTTTAAGTGTAATTCGGACGCGTTCGACGAAGTTTGAAGGTTGGAAGAAAGGTTTTTGGCCATCGATTCGTAATTTTAATGTTGTTTGACATGATTTGAGGCTTCGACTAAGTCCGTATCGCGTTTTGGAACAGATTTGTAATCGATTGGAATTCGGATTTGAGGAGATGTTGTTGCTGCTGAAGACTAGTGTAATCGCACCTGCGGAAGGAGTGGCCGCAGATGCGGTCACGCATAGTCGACACTGCCCACCATTATAAACTACAACCACCTTCCTCAATCACAACACAACAACCTCTACCAACCACCATTATTAATTATTTCCAACCACCACCATTCTCAACCATAATCGACATCACCACCAATTACCACTAGCTACTACTCAGAACCACAATCAATCAAAATCACCACCAACCATCGCATCTAGTCGATATTCACAAGCACTTTTATA